TTACATCAGCATCATACAAACACATGAGTAATTCATTGCACTACATTACATGTCACTAGGCAACAGGAAAATGTCAGCTTCATCAGAATCTTATGGGGACCACCATCACATATGTGGTCCACTGTTGACCAAAACATCATTATGCAGCACATGGCTGTATAGGCAGAAGTGGAATTGCAAAAACAAAACCAAAAAAATGAAGTGAAATTTCTGGATCATTCTATGGTTCTTATTCCTTCAGTGTGAGTCAGCTCCTATGTCTGGCAGGGTAACATCAGGAGGAGAGGGAGAACAATCTTGCGTCCTTGTTCTCTGGGGGCAGCATAGAGAGGAGAGGACAGAACAAAAGTTACCAAACATATTTCTCCTGTGAAAGAGCATGTGCGGAATGCAGAGGTCTGCATGTGACGGAGAAAGTGGGCAAGAAAATAAAGAACATTGCCTAGCCTCTCCCTGTACCACAGGGTGCAACACTCAGAATGTGAGTGCTGGGCCCTGGAATGAAGCAGAGAAGCTGAAAGCTCTAAGCTCTATATAGTGGGAAGAAAACCACCATGGAAAGTTAATTTGATGTAGATTTTCCACAATAATGATGAAGAACCACCCAGTACACAGGTATTAATTAGGCCGTGGGCAGTGTGTAAGTAGGACCTGCTTCTTGGGTGTGCCATCCACACAGTAGCACAGGACACTACACTTGTAGTTTAGTGGCTGGTAGTCTCTCTCTTGAAATTCTTAGTAATTTTATCTTTGAATTTATGTTTTGTAAGTGAAGTTTGATGGGACAGTGAAGCACACAGAAAGGGAGGACAGGGATAGAAAGGGGGAGAAGGGAGACTTGGAACCTCAGTTCCTGTCAGACTCATCCACATAGGTACCTCTCTTGAATCCCTTGGACAAGTTCTTGACTTCTCACTTTCTGGATGTGAGTGCCACCCACCCTCCCCCTTCCCCTATTCAGCAACTGCTGCTGCCCCCATCCCTTGGGCCTGGGCTGTCTCACCCATAAGGTGTCAGCTCCTTGAAGCCTCTCAGGGCCGGGCATACCAACAGCTGTCTCTGCCTCAGGCTAGAAATGCCACAGCACATTCAATAGGTGACTAAGCCTTCCACCCATCCCTGATCCAAGTCCATCTGCAGAAAGAGGAGAGTCCCAGCTTGGCCTCTCTACCTGCAGCCAGGACATGGTAGGAGGTAGTCAGTTTTAAAGCAGTCATGGTTGCCAGAATGACCAATAGCTGCAAAACAAGGATTCCTACAAGGCCCTCCCCTCATCCATCTAACACTCACACACATTATGCACACATATGCATATATACAATATCATCAACCCCACCATGGCCTGATTCCTCAACTGGGCACAAGAACTTTGAACTTAAAGAAACCCTTGTGCATTCTGCCTCTTGCTCTGTACACACATTCTAAAGGGAATACATCTGTCTGGCTCTGGATTCATGGTTTTTCCCAAAACCCTTTGGTGGCAGGCAGGGAGTGAGGCTGCAGCCTGGGACCTTCAGAGAGCTGTTTTTTCAGGGATACTTGGAGACCCTGAGGTCTCTGCTCAGGGTATAGTGAGTTCATTCATCGCTGAGCACAGGCAGAACTTGTGCCTATGTGAGCCCACAGTGTCAGCCAAGTTCTCAACTCCTGACAGAGATCTTACAGACACCATCTCTGTTGTTTGAACTCTGAACTTAGCCTTACACCTTAATATGCAATGGGCCATGGAGTAGCTAAAGCATTTTTAGCACCTTCCCTCCTTACTTACCCCTCAGCCCTGCCCAGTAAGCCTTGTATGGCCCTGTTTCAAGACCCTTTCTGTTCCTGAGTCTTTCCCCACTGTCTACCCTCTGCCCACACCCCATAGTAAGTCCTATGGCTTTCTCAGTGCTACACCCTTTTACACATCACACCCTGCACTTCATGCTTTTCTTCTTTCCTTTCAATCTGCAATTTGAAAAATTCCTTGGCCCTTGGTCTTAAGGCTCAGTGGAGAAACTGAAACTCCATAAACTAATTCATGCATAGAGGGGGCTTCAATATTTGTTACAGCATAGGGCCTACAAACTGATAAATCTTATCGGAAGGAGATACAATGGATTTGAAACTGTTGGTATCATATAGCACTTGCTATGACTTGTGTCTAGATGTCCCCCTCAAATCCTCATGTGGTCGTAAGTGGGGATTTTTGGAGGTGGCTGGATCTAGAGCATGTGATTCAGGGATTAAGAGTATAATGCTGGGGTTAAGGGTCCCCCACCCTGAGTATGAGTGGCACCACTCAAAGTGTGGGTAGCCTAGGTGAAATATAAAATCAGGCGTGGTAGCTGCTGCTGCTTGCTGTGTTGCTGTTTCCTGCCTGTTTGCCATAGACTATTTCCCCTCTGCAGTGCCCCTCTGCCATGCCACCCTGCCTTAAAGCAAGATGACTATGGACTGAAACCTTTACAAACTGTGAGCTAAATAAACATTTCCTCCTTTAACTTTGGGTGTCAGGTATTTTGTCTCAGCAATGAGAAAATAACTAGAATAGTACTTTAAATAAACTATCTACAGCTAGGAATGGTGGCACATATTTATAATCACAGCACTCAGGTGGCTGAAGCAGGAGGACAACAAGTTCAAAGTCACCCTGGAGGATAACATGTTCAAAGTCATCTTGTCTCAAAAACAAAACAAAACAAAACAAAAAGTATATACCAAAGAATGGGTGTCCTGGTGGAGATTATGGAGAAGTTAAACATCCTTCTTGACCTTTCCCCTAAACACATCATTATCTATATTTGTTGGTAATAATAACTCATGTTTGTAAAGAGTTTATCTTGTACAGTTGATGGGCATTTTCATGTATGAGGTATGATTGAAGAATATGGTGTGTTTAAATTTTTTAAAAACTGTTACAGTAAAAGTCACATGGCCATCAATATCCCCTCAAAATACTGCCCTTCACTTCAAATACACTTATCCCATTGTTATTGCCACTTTTTGAAGTAGTTCTGGAAGTCCTTTTTCATGAGTGTCTTTAGTTGCAGCGTTGTGGCTGCCTCAGTGTCCTGAATCAATTCAAAATGTTTACCCTTTATGGTCATTTTGACTTTAGGGAGGAGCCAGAAGTTGCACAGCACCAGATCTTGTGAATAAAGTACAGGAGAATACACTGTAATGTTTTTACATTGGGTGGCAGTCAGCAGCAGCATTTGTCATATTTTTAATCATGCCTCATAAATACAGGGGTCTTCCAGAACTGCTTCAGAAAGTGGCAAAAACAATGGGACAAGCGTGTTTAAAACCAGGAGGAGGGCCAGGGATTTACCTCAGTGGTGCCGCTGCCTGCCTCAAAAGCGCAAGGTCCCGAGTTCGATCCCTGGTACCAAAAAAACCCCCCAAAAAACCCAGGAGGAGTATTCTGAGGGGAAATTAATGGCAATGTGTTTTTTGCTGTAATAAACTTTTAAATTTAAAAATTCATCATATTATGGCAGGGAATGGTGACATACACCTGTAGTTCCAGCACTTAGGAGGTTGAGGCAGGACAATCACTGTGAATTCGAGGCCAGCTTAAACTACATAGTAAAACCCTGTCTCAAAAAGCAACAACAACAAAGTTCATCATATTTATCAATCATGCTTGTATGTTGTCCCAGAATTTTCTAAATTTTAGGCATTCCTAATCTGGCTCAATGATTTTTGCCATACCCATGGGCTATCTATAGAGCTTAATTACTTCATTTTTTTCTTTAAGTTAACTTATACCCACTGAAAAATTTCTAGGCTTGTCGTGAGCAGAACATCTGTAAAATCTTGAATTTGGTACCATGGTTATTTTTCTAAAACACAGCAAAATAAGTACTATTTTAAGATCTAGTTTTTTAAAAGTTTGAGTGCCACCTAAAATCATCTCATTCTTCCCTATGACATCATTCTTTGGGAAATATTTAAATATGTGACTTTCATTATAATCAAGTTAGCTGCCTGTTTGTCTGTTTCTGCAATACTTGAGAGTAAACCCAAGGCCTTGCACATGTTAGCCAAGCACTGTATCCTAACCCTTTCTTTCTTTTTTATTTTGAAGCAGGGTCTCAATAAGTTGCTCTTTTATCTGGAGTTGCTAATCTCTGAGAATGTGAGCCTTCCACCACCAACAGCAGCATTTGCTCCATTTAATTAATAAATGTTACAGGAATATCTGCCACTACCTAATAGTCTCTGCCTGTGGAAGAAGTCCCCGGACAAGGTAAGACTGAGAAAGACAGCATCCTGGTAACATTATTTCAGCACCTTGATCCTGGGTCCTGCTGGAGGAACCTGGGAGTAAGTCCTCAGCTGCCTGATAGCAGTTGGATCTGCTGCAACTGACAGGGTCTGCCTGCTGGGACCCAAATGAATTCAAGCAATTGTTCTTTCCCATTCCAGAGAGCGCACTAACCAGCCTCAGAACCTCCTGCGCAGCAGAGGTTGCCAGGAGATGGTGGTGGGCAGAAGCCTGTGGTAGTAACAGTGGAAGTCAGAGAGGGGCCTGGGTAGACCTGGGAGAAGAAATGGGCTCAACTCAAAAGGATCGTTGAAAGGCCTTGGTCCTAATTATATGTGAGATACCCAAAAGGCTGGAGTCTTGCATTTGTAGGTGATGGCCAAGAAGAGAGAACAGGATGTACAGACACAAGTATAGGTGGAAAGGAAGAGGAAGAAGGGAGAGAAAAGCTCCAAAGCTAACCATGCAATTTCTGGACCTTGGGATTGTGGGATCTTTCTTACTGCTTTTGCTTATACCTCTTCCTAAATTTCAAGTTTTCTACAAGATTGTTTTTTCATGTATTAGAATTACTTTTTAAAAGATCTCTCAGTAAACATTTCTTTGGTCTTGAGAAACTCTGCACGCAGCTAGGAGCTTTGTCGCCCACATTTCTGCTTCCTGTGTGCTAAGTCCCTTTTCAAGTGAGCCCTAACACCTCCTCCCCCGCGCGCCGCCAGTCTAGTTGCCATGGAGACAAACCTAGCTGCTCTTAGACTTCTGAGCGCGCCAGGCTTCTGGAAGCTAGAGAACCAACCTCTGCAACAGGCGTGGGCGGAAGGCGGAGCCCCGCGAAACGACTTCTCCGCTGAGAGGCCCAGCAGACCCTGCAGAGGACCCCTGCCTCGCTGGCTCTGCCCCTCTAACGCTGGTGATAGAAATACGCTGCTGCGTCTGTTGCTGGCCACTGAGCTCGAACAGATCCTACCTAGACTTGACTGACCCCCCCAGACCCAGCGGACCTACCTACCCGTGCTTGGTGCCAATGGCTGACGGACTCTTTCAGCGCAAGCCCTGGGGCGTGGAGCAGATGCGCCCCGACTCAGACGCTGAGTCCAAGGACCTGTTTGACAAGCCTCCCCTCGAAGAGCCCTGCGCGCCCCGGTCGGGGTCGGCCGCGGGCAAAAAGGCCGGTCGGCGCGCGGGCGGGAAGGCACAGGGAGCCCGCGTCGGGCCGCCCCCGAGGGCCGCTGCGAGCACCCCACCGGAAGAGGAGACGCCTCCGCTGGACGAGGGCTGCTACCTCGATCATTTCCCGCACCTCTCCATCTTTATCTACGCGGCCATCGCCTTCTCTATCACCTCCTGCATCTTTACCTATATCCACTTACAGCTTGCCTGAGTGGCCAGGGCAGGATGGGGTGGGCGCAGGGCCGACGGGGGAGGAAGGATAAAAGAAGGGCTCAGTATTTTTGCTTTGGAGAGGCGCTGCACCCCCTTAGTCTATCTTTCGATGCTGTTTCTTTTCTTCTATGTCGTCGCTCGATCTAAATTGTCCAACCGTTAAAAAGTCCAAAGTACTGTACCTGTCAGAAAAAAATTAACAGTGCTCTTTGCACCTACAGGTAGGGGTCGGGGACACAGACCTAACGTTTAGAAAACCGGGGTGTGATTGAATCTCGTTCACAATCAAGGTTTTGTCTCTGTACGCTTTCTTCGCGATGTGGGGACATGCGCAGCTGAGAGCCCAGCATCTCGTGTTTGGGAAGCGCAGAGCAAGCCCAGCCTTCTGTTCGTTAAGGGATGAGTCAGACCTGGACCCCCCACCTTCCAGAGAAGGTCCTACGGGGAAGGTCGGCGCTCTGGAGCCCTGTGATGCTGCATTGCCCCAGGAGGCGCTGTGCTCGGAGCTGCCGAGCGCGGGGAGCAGGAAGGCCTGGTCACGCAGCGGGCTCTGCTGAGGCTGGGCAAGGTGAGTGGCGTGAGTGCTTCGCCCCCCAGGTCTTTGAGCTTGACCCAGACTGTGCGCATTTTCTTGCCTTAGCCTTTGTTGTCGCTGCCAGAAGAGATGTCCTCTCAGCCACGCCCAGGACGTGTCCCGACCGCGTGGAACCTGCAGCTGCAGACTTCCAGGGACACAGGCCGAGCTCGCATGCTCCACTGGGAAACTCTCGGGGCCCTGGCTGGGGTCCGTGGGAGGGCTGTACCTGGGGCTGGGGCCCTTCTGGAGCTTGGAGAACCAACATGAAGAGGTCCAGGGATATCAATAGCAAGAGTTCCTGCCGGGGGTGTCATCTCAGATGTAAAAGGACTAATGGGAGAACCCACCTGCCTTGTTTACTCATGAATGTCAAATGTCCAAATGTGGCGCTTTAATACTGCATATATCTTAAGGAAATGCCTATAATTGTGTTATCTCTAGTAGAGTAAAGTACCTTTTAAATCTCCTCTGTATCAGTTATTCCTTAATTTCCAGCTGTCTTAGTCGTCACTTCCCTTGTTGCTGGGACAAATATCCAACACCCACAACTTAGAGCGATTCTGGCTCACAGTTACAGTCCATGGCCAGCTTGCTCCAAGGCAGAAAGGCATAGTAAAAGGGCCTGGGCAGAGGAACACTGCTCACATCATGGAGGCCAGACAGCAGGGAGCAAGGACAAGCCAAGGGCAGTCGATGTGCCCCTTCCAGCTCACCCTCCAGGGACCCACCGCCTCCAACTGGCCCCACCTCCTAACAGCAAGTCAGCCACAATCCCCTCACTTAATTACCTTCCAAAAGCCCCACCTGTGAGCACAAGGCCTTTTGGGGGGCACTCTTAATCTAAACCGTAACTCCCAACTGTGCAATTCACCTTGTCAGACTTGCCGTCTGCTCAAAATTATACCCCATATTTTTCCCCCTGTACTGGGAGGACTCACAGGCTTCACACTGACCTACATCCACAGGTCCTTCCTAAATCACTAAATTGCCCAGGCTGGGCTCAAACTTGTGGTCCTCCTGGCTCAGCCTCCCTCAGTGCTGAGATTATAGGTGTGTGCCATCATACCCACTACCCTATTATTTTCCCAACATCACTACTGTCCTTTCAAGACTTCACCCATCATATAGATTGAGGCACAATATCTCCCTCTACTATAGATCCCTTAATGGCATCTTTCACTATCAGTTCCTCACAACATACCAGTCTAATTCGATGGTCCCCTAACAGCAGATCTGCCACCAATGTACTACTTGTTTCTCACTGAATCCCAATATATGAGTGGTGCTCTTCATTTAACCCTCTTATTTCCCATTCATACATCCTCTCATCTTACAATCTTTCAATAACTACCTTAGAATACAATCCCCCAATATCCTTCTGTTGCCTAATCTGATAGAATCCTCTTGATTCTCAGAACCAAAGTTCCTATTCCTCAACATGTTATGGTTCCACAATATCACAACCCTTTCTGTTCTACCAAATCTGGATCTCCATTTTCTACCCCTAATTCAAATACATAACTGGTTCCTTCAACTAACCTTAATATATTCAACTGCCTCTACAAACTTAACATTGGCTTCAACATTCTCCTAAATATCCAGCCTTATGCTGGAGATGTCATTTATTAGTAGAGCAATTACCTACCATGTACAAGGCCCTGGGTTGGATCCCCAGCACCACAAAACCAAATAACATTAAGACCCATTTGACCCCCTTCTTTCAGTTCATTACATTGTTTCCCAAATAATCAATTATCATCTCTCCAGTGTAATACTCTAGCCTTCCAACATTTATCCTATCAATGCCATCCTCAAACTAAGGTCACCTCAGCCCCAAGATTTAATCACTTTCTTCCCATACCCCCATATTCTCTATTGGCCTACTACTTTGTCCTACACCTGCTCACTTTCTTTGTAACTTCTGGTTGCAGTGAGCTCGTTTGGTCTATTTTTTTCTAATACTAAATTTCTACTACTCTCATACCATTCTTTAGCATCATCATCATGACCAATTCTTCACTTATCATGTGTCCCAGAATATGTGGTCATATATGCCCCCACTGTTCACACATTTCCTTGGTGACTGCTTCCCTAAACTGAGTTTTTGTCTTCCAACTGTTGAGCTTCCAGTATGAGACTCCCTTCTCCAAAATATCAACCCTTTCCCTGTTTCCTCACTATACTAATGGACAGCTTTTTAAGCATTTGACCATAAAAATTAACATGTCCAGATTTTGACTCCTTGTGCCATGCTGCTCTGGTCCAGGGAGCTGGGGGTATAGCCCAGTGGTATGGGAAATGCTTAGCATGCACAATGCTCTGTACCACCATAACAAAACAAAAATTAAAAATTTAAGCCTTATTGGTCTGGCTGGGATCATATGCCCACCTTTGGTCAAAAGGCATTAAGAGCAGGGCATGGTGGCACATTTCTGTAATCCCAGCACTCAGGAGGCTGAGGCAAGAGGATTGCTGTGTTCAAGGCCAGTCATCCTCTTGCCTCCTTTCTGAGTTGCTGGGATTACAGGTGGGCACCACGCCTGGCTTCAAAACTAACTTTAGCATGAAAAAACATTGATGTAAAATCTAGAGTCAAGCCAGGCATGGTGACATAGCCCCATAATCCCAGTATTCTGAGAGGTTGAGACAGAACTGCAAGTTCAAGCCCAGTCTGGGCAACTAAGAGAATTAGTTCAGACCCTGTAGCTCAGTGCAAAGGTCCTGGGCTCCATTCCAATTACAAAGCAAGCAAACAAAGAAAAAACAAAAAACAAAAAACATGAAGAGTCAGTAAATACAAATTTCGTTATTGGGTATATCCCGTGCTTCCTTTTTCTATTCCAGTGCGATCTGCTTCTTTTTTGTCCAAGGTCTTCTACTGGACTCCAAGGGAGCAAACTGCTTTAACATCACCAAGACCTTGCTCATGGAAAAGATTTATTCTGGAAACAAACACTTGTTTCTGAGACAAGGTCTCACTATGTAGTCCAAGTTGGCTTTGAATTTACTATGTAGCCCAGTGTGGTCTCGAATTCATAATCACCCTGCCTTAGCCTCCCAAGTGCTGGAATTACAGGCGTATGATAGCATTTTGGCCACAGCTTCTTTTACTTGCTTCTTTCAACCAGTTATTAACTTCCTCACATAAGAGATAAGAGCAAACACTCTATGTTAGTTGTTCCTTAAAGAAGGTGCCTTTCAGTAAGTCCCCAACTTATGAACATTCAAGTTGCAAACTTTCACAAATAAGAACAGACCTCCCATTACAAACATTCATAAATGCAAACAAATTGTGGAAGTAGCTCACGTGCCTGCTGGACAATGTCACAGTTGTACTGCTATGTGCTTACTGTACAGTGATAGTGTACAGTAGTACAGTGCTCAATAAGAGTCCAGGATGTCCAGAAACAAGAGGAAAAGCTGTGGTTGGGCTGGGGATTTAGCTCAGTGGCACAGCGCCTGCCTTGCAAGCGCAAGGTCCTCAGTTCAATCCCCAGTACCAAAAAAAAAGAAGAAAAGCAGTGGTAATGTGGAGGGGACTTCTAGGAAGCACAAAGCAATAACCATATAAACAGGGCTGGGGATTTAGCTCAGTGGTTCTGCCGCCTGCCTCAAAAGTAGAAGGTCCCGAGTTCGATCCCCAGTACCAAAAAAATAAAAAAATAACCATATAAACAAAAGTAAAAATAATTGAGGGATTGGACTGAAGCAAAAAGATGGAAGATGTTGCTCATTCTTTTTGTGTGTTAGTTTATGCTTTACATTGTATATTTATGTCAAAGCTGTGTAAGACTCACTTTGTCAGACTTAAGAGCAAATCTGACTTACAAATGTTCACCCAGAATGGAATTTGTTCGTAAATTGAGGACTTACTGTATTTGATTAACCCAAAGAATAAGTCAAAAGGATCAAGGTCACAAAAAGATTCACAACCTAGGTATAACTTCATATCTTTGGCCATAGTTTCACTTCTTTGAACTTGCTGCCAAATGAGTCATTATTATATCAAGAATTCCTTCCCAACTATTTGAAGTCTCTAATGAACAGCTGTTTCCAAGACTAGTTCAAGGTAGTACACAGATATGTTAGGAGAACGGATGGAAAAAAAGAGTAAGATGCAGAACCCAAGAAAGAGTGAACAAAGAAAATCTTGACAGACTCTTTTTACCATATGGAAATTAAGATATTTTCAGTCTTTTACTTTCCTTTTCTACATTGTCTCTAATATTCTGGAGTTTTCTGGAACTCTGGACCAAGGACACCAAACTCTCCCTAAAATCACTAGTCCCATGATCCCTGGCAACATTTTCAAGCTCATCAAACAAACTTAAGGTCTGTCTAAGTCTGGCTTCAACTATTTTTTGCTCTTCTAATTCTGCAAGAAGGGCTTGTTTAGTAGATAATTCAGTCTTATACTTCTCCTGTAACTCTCTGATTTCTTTTTGGAGAAGTTGGAATTCTTCCTCACTATAAGGATTTATCTCCTGACATTTATCTTCAGGAAGCAAGATGTTTGGGGGAATACGCAAAATCAACTGCAAAAACAGCTGCTCCATTTTGCCAAAAAGATTATCAAAATGTCCTTTCATGAAGCAAAGAAACTTCTCTGTGCATTTACGAATCTGGACTGGGCTAATGTCACAATCTGGGATGCCCTCCAGCTTCTTCAGAATAACTTGTTCAACAGCCTGCATCACTTCAAACAGGTAGTCTTGAAATGCAATGTAGATCCTAAGCATGCAAGTTTGTGGTGTGAAGCCAAAGAACTGGGCCTCATAGGTCATTGGATCCACAGACATCTTGATTTACTTGGCTATTCTCAATTGTGAAAAATCTGCAAATGTAAAAAGAAAAATTTCATTTAGATACAAAAATCAAGAGGAAAGAAACAAATCATATTATAACAAATAAAAAACAGAGTTTGTGTTCCTTGATACCTGATATATTTCTAGCCTTACTTGTTCACAAAAGGATATAAAAGTTTGCCTTTCTGAGGCTCTTTCCCCAATCTAGACCCTCTCCCTAGCCTCCATCATTCATTTCTTCTACTTTTCATTATGTGAAGACTTAAGCATATAGCTCAATCTTCTAAATTGGTATTATCCTGGATGAATTTAAAGTTTAAACAGATGATCTATTTGATACCCTAGACCAGTGATGGTGAACCTTTTAGAGCTTTCAATGGTAACAAATGGCTGGCCACAGCATGTGCCGTAGGTTTGCCACCATGGCCCTAGACATTCTGGAGACTCAGTGACCTGCATCTCTATTCTCTGTGCTACCTGAGTCTTGACATTTATCACTTTTCTTCCTAATAGCTCCTACTTTTTAACCACAACCTCGTTTTTCTTCCAACTGTCATTCACACATTCACATTCTACCTTAGTCTTTCAATCCTTTCTTGCTCTCAGTCTCTCTCACTTCTTTCCTCATTTCCTTTAGACCCTATGATCTATCATTTACATACCCCATTCTAAATGTCTTCTATTCCCTTGTCTTTCCACCTAGGCATCTGATTAAAAAAATTCCAATAGAAGATAAGTAAGCCATTTACTATTTTTACAACTCTGACTTGTTTTGGTTTTTTTTAAGGGCCTGGGAGTCATTCCTTTCTATTATAAACATTTAGGAAATTATCATTCTATATCCCTGTCATTGAGGAAGCTTAACCTGGCATCTTTGTCCTAACTGTAACCATATGCTTATTATCAAAATAAGACAGTTTTACTACTCCTTCAGATTAAAGGAATGTAGCTAAAACAAACTGGTAAAAGCTGCCAGATGAATTTAGGGTGAGCTTCTGGAAAGAACTGCAGCAAACAGTGCAGTCAAGTCTTACAAGACAGGATGCTATTAATCTTGAGAATTTGCGTAAGTAACAGTTTACAATGGAGTTGTTGTACCTGTGTGGCTGTATAAAAAGTCAGAATTTGTTTTTATAATCTCATTTACAGATTATCTACAGTCCATTGTAATCTGGTTATGTTATTCAATAACGAAACGGCTTTATTTTCTCTTTGCAGAGGATTCCCTGGGTTAGTAGGATTTTTATTTCAACACTTGTCTGGCTCTACAATCAAGTTTAAACCCTTCTAAAATGGCTTACAAGAGCCTTCAGCACCTGAGCTTTATTACTTACACTCTGTTCTTCTTTTTAAGTACCTTACGTGGACATAATTGACTTCGATAATATTTCTATTTTTTTGATCCATATTAAGTCCTCTTATTCTTCTACTTTGCATCTCCCACCCTTAGTAGGAACCTAATCTCTTTTTAATGTCTTATCTTTTCAATTCATCTTTATATTTAGATAGATGTTAGATATATGTATATTCTTTAAAAATATAGTTTTATAAATGTATCTTTACATTTTTGTTTGTGATCATTTCATGTTATTATAGTTGAGTTTACTTCACTGGTTCCGACTAAAGCATTAACATCAATTTTATCATATATATATCTCACATTGTCTATTCTCATGACAAACATTTTATTTGCTTCTAGCATCTTACTACCAGAAATGTAATGAACATCTTTCTGTGATGTCTCCTTAGAGACTTGCCATACTTTACTCACACTATTTCACCAAATACTGCCAAAATATCCTCCAGAACATCTAGGTTGGTTTACATCCTCTTGCAGCAGATGAGAATTTCTTTTTCATATCTTTGCCAACTCTTGACGCTATTCAACATTCTAATGTTTGCTAATTGGTACATAAAAAATTGTATATAAAACACTGTCATTTTGAAAATCAACAATCTGGCCAGGCATCGTGCCTCACACCTGTAATCCCAGCACTCAGGAGGCTGAGGCAGGAAGACTGCCTACATGGTGAATTCAAGGCCAGGCTGAACTACAAAACAAAAACAACAAAAAACAACCATTTGTATTCTACAATACTCTAAAACTCTTGCCTCAAAATTTCAACCACTTCTGGATTGTCTCACAATTTGTAGCCAATTTTTTAACCAAACCCTACATTGAAAGAAGCACCGTAAACCTAATTTCCAATTCTCAAAAAAATTGCAATCTTGTCTGTCTTCCCTATGAGATCTCAACGCTGTGTTAAGGAAGAGTTCTCCCTTCCTGCGATAAGCAATAAACCAACATTGTTTTCTCAACAGATTAAGATTTCTCCTGTCACTTGCCGATTTCTCTCTTGTCTCCCCTAGTCTGAAACAAACTGGCCTAGGGACTACAAGACTCAAGCTACTCTCCTCCCTCAGCTTCCAAAGTAATTGGGCCTTATAGCCGTGCATCACCGAACCTCGCCTTAAACTCTTTTTACTTTTTTAAAAATCAATCTCTCCAACCTTTTACTTGGCTCCTTCTTATATTACCAGACTTGATGGTCATTCCCTTGTTCCAAAATTTTTCAGTATTTCCTTGTATGCTGAGTTTAGTATAAACTTCTTAGCCTCCTCCGTCACCATCAAGCTAGTCTTTCCCAACCAAATCGAGCTGTTTCCCTTCCCTGGTGTAGGCAAGACTTAGGCAAATAGTTCAAAAACACTTCATTGTGGACACACCCACTCCTACTTTTGAATTTCCATCAGGACCTCTCGCCGACACTGTCTAGTCCAGTTCCGTCGTCCTGTTTTCTCTGCTGGACTTGGGAGTTCCTGAGACTAAACGCGGGAAACGCCCAGGCCATTTTAGACAGTTTAATCGCCTAGGAACCCGCGCCTACACCAGCTAGGACCTAGGACCCAGAACCCGAAGAGCAGGAGGGCTTCCGGCCAGCTCTGGGCTCCCGGGCAGCTCTGGGCTCCCGTCCGGCCCTGCGGCCCCGCTGCATGCTGGGACCTAAAGATAGGCGCCAGCCGCCCAGCAGAGAAGCTAACCCCAGAAGCCACTCCGGAGCCCCTGCGATGATTCCTAACCCAGTCCCGCCTCCCCTTGCTCCTCCTCAGAGAAAATGCAGCCCCGCGGCATTTACCGTAGCGACCATAGAGGTGATGAAGTCTACCACACACCACTTCCCTCCACCTCCTTTCACACAACCGCAAGCTGCCAAAGAAGGGCGGCGGCGCTGATCCTCAAAATTCCAACAGATTTAGAGCGTCAGCGAACGAAGCAAAGGCGGGATATTTATCGCCATTCTGATTGGCTGGCTATCGGAACGGAGTGGGTACGTCGATTGGTGACAGAAAGGGGCCGGGAAGGAAAGCTAGCTGTGGCCTGCTGGGATTGGCAGGAAGAACTGGTACCTTCTTTCCTTTCCTCTACATTGGTGGGCGGAGAAAGGGGGGGGAGAGACGGAATTGCGGAGACGCAATTCGTCATTGGTGGATAAGCGTTCTTCAGGGCGCTAGCGATTGGTGGTCGGCCGATTGCGCGGCGCTGATTGGACAGTAGGTTAAAGGCAGGCGCGTTTGAGTCCGCTCCGCCCCTTGGGCACGCTGGCGGAAGGGGAAGGGGGGCTGGTGGCGGTGGGGAAGATGGCGTACCAGAGCCTACGGCTGGAGTACTTACAGATCCCACCGGTCAGCCGCGCCTACACCACTGCTTGCGTTCTCACCACCGCCGCTGTGGTGAGCAGCTTCAGCGCCGCCTTCTAATTTCCGGGCTGGATGTGACTGGTTCTTTAGAAAACTGGGATTTGGGCCTCGGGGACACTCAGAAGGTCTGGTCCGAGGGGTGGGTGGAGGTGTGCGGGGCTAACTCTAGGGTTCGGAATGGACCCAAGAATGCTAATCCAGTGACCTAAGAAGGGTGGGCTACTTCGTGAGGAGTCAGGCCAGTCGCTGAGATGAAATCAGAACCTATAGCGAGTCAGGGCTGCGGGAGCCCACCCAAGAAGTCTGTGTGAGATCTCTAGCGATTGCCTGGTTTCTCCGTGGTGTCTAATGGAAGAAAGTCCGCTAAGTGAGGAGACTTGGGTATTGAGGATAGAACGCTGGAAATTATCGAAAAAGAAGCATTAAAATAAGAGGGTCTGTAGATGTAAGGGGCAGGCTGGCAGCACCCAGGCTAATGGTAGCAGAGTCTCAAATCTGTTATTTCGAGTTGTGTTGCTTCACCCAGCTGTCCCAGGTGGTGCCCACATGATGGGCAGATTGGTAGCAACTGCTTTTACTCATCCTGCACCTAATATACCACCTGCCTGCTTCCCATGCCTTCATGTCATACTCAAGTATTGCAAGATAAAACTTTCATTTTGTTAGGTATTGAAGATATGAAGAATTGTACCAGTTCTAGAGAATTCTTTACAAGCCTTATCTCTGATCTAAAAAGAAAGGCTTAAAGTTGCTGGAAATTGCTGCACCTACTAATCTTTTTTTGTAAACAACAAAATTTTGTTTCTTGATTGATTTGCTTTAAGCAGGTCTTTTTCTATTTCAGCAGTTGGAATTGATCACACCTTTTCAGTTGTACTTCAATCCTGAATTAATTTTTAAACACTTTCAAGTAAGTAAACCATTGTAACTATAGTTAATGTTCCCATTTCTTCTTGTTTTCATTGTTTATAGCAAATTCTGCCATATAGTGTCTTTTTATAAAAAAGAGGATCCATTGGCAACTTTTGACTATAAGTCTTATTGTTGAAGTGTAAAGCAGCCTAGATACCCTTTAGAATCGGGGAACTTTTAAGAGATTTTCAAGCTCTTCACCATATACCAGACCAGAATCACCAAGGTTAGAAATTTAGGATCTGTATTTTATTTTTAAAGTTTCCTGTATAGTTTTGGTAGGTCACTGGTAAAGATTTAGCTTTGTAGTTTGAGAGGAGTCTGACCAGCTAGCTGCTAGGGAGAGTCGCACAGGATGGCCTTATGTTGTTCATTCACCATCTGGGCACACCCACCAACTTCTTTTTATGGTCCAGTTCATAAACTCAATTCTGGTAGTGGTTTTAAATTTATCCTTCTCCAGAGATCAGCTCATACTAACACAACTCTAAAAGACCAACATCTAGAACAGTATGCTGGTATATTAGATTACAGTGGGAAGTAGTTTTTTCCAGTGATTAAAATGCTAAAAGACATATTTTTCTACTCCAGGATGATCATTTAGACTGTGTATGGAGGAGAGACCCTAAAGCCAACAATTCTGCTACACATGTTGTTCCCTTTCTCAGATGTATTGTATTTACTGTATACTCACTGAAAACCAGCTTGCCTTTCAAGATGCATCTTTTATGTGGCCTCATTCTTGTCTTTGCTCCTTTTCTTGCAGTTATGTTTGCCTCCACACTACCATATTTCCCCCAAAATTAGACCTAACTGGAAAATAAGCCCAGCATGATTTTTCAGGATCCTTGTAATATAAGCCCTACCTACCCCCAAAATAACCCTGTTAAGAGAGTCAGTCAGACAGATGCATTTAGTATGTGTATTGCAATACACAATGGACATATTGAATTATAATAATGTATAATTAAATATAAATAAATCACATTTACATTATACTTAAAATGATAATGTAAATTATAATTAAGTATTTGTAAATACCCAAGTGGTGCCTTTGGACAAGAGGTAAATGCCTATGTAAACAGATGAACTCAATACTTACTGCTAAATGACCAGTCAGAGTACAGACACAGCACACAAGTAACAGTGTGCACTTGACAATTCATAGACGTGGTCGTGTCTAATGTTGATCTTCATAATTCAGTACATCGTGTGTTGTACTGGACGTACTTAATATACTTATGTGAAATACACATTTTCTGAATTTTGATGCCTGCAATTTTTTTCACTTGTGTGTGGACCATCATTCTTAACTCTCATTTTTTGGTGCCACTCCTGTCTCATATGTTTTCAATAAACACTTGATTTAATGGAAACTTGGTGGAGCCTAACCTGTAAGAGGTAATGACTTGGGTGAAGAATTCATGGGTAACTATGTTGGTAACTATGTTGGTAATGCACTAGGAACAGGGTACATGGACAAGAAGTGCTCATTTAAGGAGAGCTCTTTGCTGAGAGATTGGGGCCAGTGATTCTAGAGGAAGTAGAGTTGCAAGAATTTCAGGCCAGAATTTGGGGTTTGGAGTTATGACAATGTTCCAAAAGAAGATGACATGACTATTTGAATAAATGTAGACTTTTGTACATGAATAAAAATAAATGTAGGTTGTACATGAAAAAATTAGACATTACCTGAAAATAAGCCCTATTGCATCTTTTAGAGCAAAAATTAATATAAGGCTCAGTCTTATTTGGGGGAAACATGGTAGGATGAGGTTCCTAAAATCTTGGATTTAATTAATATGTACAGTTGTTTCAATTTTAATAGCTACTGATTCTGAAGAATTGTCTTGTCACAGCCTTCTTCCGTCAGTACTCATGTGGCCTTTGCTGTAGCTCCATCCAGATGTTGCTTCTTGCTGACTTGCTTGATTTGACTTTGCCTGGTGTTAGCCTTGAAGACACTGCATCTGTATTTGAAGTTAGGTGTTCTAGATTAGAGATCAGAGTCTCTACAAGCTGTTTATCCTTGGGCAAGCTTTTAAAGTTATCCAAGTCTTCTAGTTACATGAAATGGGAATGGTAGCATCCACTTCTTTGTGTCACAGAACGATGAGAGAGTAGACTATGTTTAACACTTTGAAATGTTAAGAACTCTACCAGTGTGAGTAGTTGTGGGTGTAGATGAATTCACTAGGTAAGGATATATCAGGGTACCATCATGAATAAGAATTCCTTTTATCTCCCAATCAGACTCTATTAGAGCCTTACTTATAGGAAGTTGACTGTTCAGACTAGGACTTGAGTATTTGCTTTAGATCCCTCAAGTTTTACCTTGTATCTGTGGACTCATTAGATTTTGATACTTCATATATAAAAGCACTATTTTCTATTCTGTAAAGTAGGATGTCTTTTTTTGTCTTAATATGGAAATGTTTCCTGGTAATATATTTCATTTAATCCATTTTTCTCTTGATTTTGTTTTTCCTACAGATATGGAGATTAATCACAAATTTCTTATTTTTTGGGCCAGTTGGATTCAATTTTTTATTTAACATGATTTTTCTGTATCCTTTATTAAGTAGAGTCAGCATCAAAACTTTAGGGTCACAGAAAAAGCAGTTAAATTGAAACTATTAATCCTGTTATTTTGATGCCATATTATAGTTTCTGGGTCAGGGATACATAGAGTAATTGGTTAGATTGTAATGTTTTTGTTTTTGTTTTGTTTTTTGAGGCAGGGTCTCATGTAGTTTGAGCTGGCCTTAAACTTGGAGCAATCCTCCTGCCTCACCCTCCCAAGAGCTGGGTTTACAGTAATGTGCACCACCACACCTGGCTAGATTGTAATGTTTTGAAGGTGTTTGTAACTACATGGGAAGTTCTAACCATTACAAAGTATCATTACTGTCCCTAAGTTGCTTACAAATCTGATCAAGGGAGAGGAGATATGATTTAATTGAAACATACTTATAACATCAGAAGGGTATGGAAATGAGTTCATGAGAAAGGGAGACTTGAAATCTTGGATTTTAGTTGCTGGTTTTACTAGTAGGAAAGACAGTGCCATCATATCTGCTAGGCTTGCCTTGTTCTAGTATGTTGAAAGACTGGAAGAGCCATCCGCGTTCAGATAAATGGTAGTTTTGACCACTGAGCAGAGTATTCCTCCCCACCCCAACCCCCACCCCCTCCCCAGGATTAAGAGAGGCGTTTATAGCTCAGTTTAGTTATAGCTCAGTTTATATGGCAGTAGACAGAGGGCCTTCTAGGTGTGACAGGATTTCTGCCCTAGGATGGATTCCTGTGACTCTTACATAATATATCATTCTGGTAAGTTTCTAGTGAAGTTTTTTCATTGTAATATATTTATTGGCTGAGATACAGAAATGATTAACCTACCCTGTTGATGAAAAGTAGCTTATCACACAAGGCTTCTTTATCAGGAATTCTTCCAAAATAGTATGTGGAAAAACAGGGATGGTATAGATGCAGGCATTGTTAAGCATGATAAAGACTGTACTAGAGATTTGAAAAGATTTAAAAGGGATTGAAAGCATATATATGCAACATCTAGATTAGTTCCCCAGCCTGGGACATACTAAAATATGGTGCTGGCCTTGACCTTGCCTAACAAAAAAGAGTAGCCAGTTGTGGTGGCGCATGCCAATAATCCCAACACTTGGGAGCCTGAGGCAGGAGGATTGACACAAGTTCCAGGCCAGCCTGGGCTACATAATGAGTTCAGACCTAGCCTGAGCCAGGGATTTAGCTCAGTGGTTTTGCTGCCTGCTGCGCAAGCGCAAGGACCTGAGTTCAGTCCCCAGTACCAAAAAAAGAAAAAAAAAAGAACTGAGTCCTTACAAACCTAGCCTGAACTACATCACAACATGCTATCTCAAAAAAAAAAAAAAAAGTGATCAGATTACCACTCAAACATTGTTACAGAAGTGAAGAATTGAGTGCCTACAGATAATGTGAAGTCCAGGTATACTTAAGAGGTTAAATTTTACTTTATTCATGTTTGTGTGCTTAACATTTTCTTAACTTGGAATTTAAGATATCGTTACTGTCGAATGCTAGAAGAAGGCTCTTTCCGAGGTCGGACAGCAGACTTTGTATTTATGTTCCTTTTTGGTGGATTCTTAATGACCGTATCCTTCAAAAAATACAGGAAAATGTTAAAGAACAGCCTGTCTCTTCCTAAAGCTTTTCATCTGTCTCCCACGAGATATTCTGAACAAACAGATAAAAGCAAACCTCCAGATTTTAGCTTCAGGGCATTACCATTTATTTTACAGCAGACTTTCTGTGACAGCTTTCCAAGCCTAGAGGTTAGACAGAATGTCTTTCTACCACTGTGAGCAAGGCAGAGGAACTTTTAACCCAGGTGGGTTACAATGAAGCATCTCAGTTATATCATGTTGATGCATGTGCATCACTTTTAAACTAAGTGAGATGTGTAGTCATTGTCAAAAATGATTCATTATTTATAAAAAGAAAAGAATTTTGTTGTGTATAACAGACTTGGATGTACTATCTGACAAGACAGTATCGTTCCAGGTGGCACTGTTCATCTGTAAAGGTGCTAATGGTGAGTGAGCTTTTACTGTAATTATTGACCAAGGGATTAACATTTTCCAAAGAGGCAAGAGCTTCACAAAAGTAGTCATTTCATGCATTCATATAGCTGTAATCCAGATGATTTCACCTAAACCAGTTTTTGCCAGATTGCTCTAGGTCATTGGTGGTGAACCTATGGCACATGTGCCACAGGGGGCTGTTTGTTATTACTGAAAGTTCTCAAAGGTTCGCCATCCCTGCTCCACCTAATTATTTTCAGACTTTTTTCCTTTTACACTAGACCCTTGACTTACGAATTCAATTGGTTCTGGAAGCCTGGTTGTAACTGAAGTTGGTTATAAGTCAGTACAGCTGAGATCTGGATATTTACCTGGGTACATGCTATAAATAACAAGAGGCAGATGAATCTTCCATTAACCTAATTAACCCAAGTTGTTCATATGTCCGGCCAGTCATAACTTGAGGATCCACTGTATTCTAAATATGTAATCACCCAACAAATTCAAACTTTCATTAAGATGCAATCTTTAGTGCTCTGAAGTCTCAGTCTTCCCTGTTATGCTTTTAATGTTGATATTTTCCTTAATGCCATCTGTTAGCTTTTTGGTTTGTTTGTGAGCTTAGTTTTCTTAGGCCAGGCCTTTACAATAATGCTCGTCTACGTATGGAGCCGAAGGAACCCATATGTCCGCATGAACTTCTTTGGCCTTCTCAACTTCCAAGCCCCCTTTCTGCCCTGGGTGCTCATGGGGTTTTCCTTATTGTTGGGGAACTCAATCATTGTGGACCTCTTGGGTAAGAGTCTTAACGCTACTTTTTCTGTTGTTTTAACCTGTAAATTTGTTTTGTCACTATTTTTCATGTTTATCCTGTCTGTCCTTCATATATAGCTATTGTAGGATTATTTGATAGTTACACCTTTTTTTTTGGTACTGGGGATCAGACTCAGGACCTTGTGCTTGCAAGGCAGGCAGCGGAACCACTGACCTAAATCCCCATCCCTGATAGTTACGTCTTAAAACTATAATATTAGTTCATTAATTTTTAATAGTTACACTGATATTTATCCTAAATATAAGGAGTTTATGTTGGTAGTTTGTGTGCAATCAAAATTTAAGTCCTCTCCTCAGTCTTTATTTCTGGTTGACTATAGGTATTGCAGTTGGGCACATATACTTTTTCTTGGAAGATGTATTTCCTAATCAGCCTGGTGGAATAAGAATTCTGAAAACACCATCTATTTTGTGAGTATTTAACCCCATGTTTCATGTCTAAAACACGATGGGACCCCTGATCTGGGTTTTGTTAGGACTTTTATACCTCTTGGTACAAATAGTTTAGGTGAGTCAATATTTGTAGATTGAGTAATCTGGCTACAGATGAGGTACGCTTGGATTGGGTAGGAGCAGACTGCTAGGGTTGTGTCAAAAGAGATTAATAACCCCAGATGATGTGGGAGTGACTTGGTAGTTATTGTCCTGGATGACCACTAAAGCTTCCTATCCTAGGGAGGAGCCTACAGTTTTATGAAAGGTGCTGTCCAAGTTTAGAGAAGTGAGGTAGCCAACTGGGCAGCATGGATGAAATTTTCTACTGGTGGGACATAAGACAGGGTCCTAGTCTAAACTTGTCTAAGCTGGGCTTAAACTCACGATCCTCCTGTATCAGCCTTTCCAATGCTGTGATTACAGGAGTGTGACACCATACCCAGCTTGCTACATGTGCTTTTAAACTTTGCCTGCAGTCTGAATTTGTGACTGCCTCTGGTTTCCATCGTTTGTGATTAGAAGTTAAGTGTTTGTGAGTTCGCGAGCGCGCACACATGTGTGTACGTGTACACTATGGCTTGGATACGATATAATTGTATCCCACCCAGAGGTTGCTGTGATTGGATGCTTAGTTCCCAGAGTGGTGGTACTAGGAGATGCTGTGGAACCTTTAAGGGATGGGGCATAGTGGGAGGTTCTTAGGTCATGTGACCCCTTGGTAGTTCTGGAGAGTTATAAAAGGAGCTGACCTGGTGCCACCCAGCTCATGTGACCTTCTAGTTTGAGACTTAGTCACTTGCTAGTTCCTGCCTGAGCTCAGGGTATTGCTCTGTGCTATGAGGCATGCCCTGCCATTTGGACTTTTAGCCTGCAAAACCGTGGGTTTAATAGACTCTTCTTAATAATTACCCTGTGTTAGGTATTTCATTGGTGACGAAAAGTTGACTAATACGGTGTGTGTTTTGAAGGTGATGAGTTCTTTTTCTCTTATTCCTTTCAAGATTTTCTCTTTTTCTTTGGTTTGCAACATTTGACTACACTGTATCTTGCTTGGTTCAGTTTCCTGAGCTAGAGATTGAATTGTAAAACACCTTTCTACTCCAGAATTTTGTGTCTTTGGGAACTACTACATTTTTTCAAAAAGGGCTCAATTAAGGGGGAAAATGTGAGTTTTTGTTATACAATGTTTGTTGTAGAATAAGCAAAAAAAAAAAAATCATTTATTACTGTAGCAGTGGCTACTACTGTTAACTTTTTAATACATACAGTCTTTTGCCATCAGTATACTTTTGTTTTTGTTTTTGTACTGGGGATTGAACTCAGGACCTCACATTTGCCAGGCAGGCACAGTGCCGCTGAGCTAAATCCCTGGCCCATCAGTATATTTTTTTAAAGTGCTGTTTCACAACCTTTTTTGTTTTGTTTTGTTTGTTTTTGGTACCAGGGATTGAACTCGGGTCCTTGCACTTGGGAGGCAGGCAGCGGAACCACTGAGCTAAATCCCCAGCCCGTTCATAACCTTTTTAACATCATATGTCATGATCACTTTTCCGTCATAAATGTTCTACAAAATTGTAACATGATAATCCATGATATGGATTTAGCTTAATTTTACTGGTCCCTTTTTGATAGACTATGATATTAGTTCCTGCTCTTCCCATCTATAATTGGAGTGGTGAATGTCCTGGTAGCCAAATCTCTGCACGTATCCGTGATTATTTCCGAAGAATAATGGAACTTCTATTTAAATTATTGCTAAAATGCCTTCCAGAATGGTTCGAGTTTACATTTCTACCAGTAATATCTAAGGGTTGATTTCTTTATACCTTTACCAAACACCCTCATTTGCCATTTCCTACTTTGATAACTATAAAATGATATCTCATTGTTTTATGATTTTTAAAAAAAATTTTTTGAGATGGGCTGGGGATTTAGCTCAGTGGCACTGCCTGCCTTGCAAGCGCAAGGTCCTGAGTTCCATCTGCATTTCTTTATTGGTGGGCTTGTTTTTGTTTTTTTGCATTGCTAGGGGATCCAACCTAGGGCCTCACAAATGCTAAGCAAATGCTTTTCCACTGGGCTATACCCCTCAGCCCAATGGTATGCTTCTTTTTATTGTTAATTTGTAAGAATTAGAGTTCATTTTGAAATGCTTTTTTCTAACTCCAGTATAAAGTGGAAATTTTCAGATATTTCTAATTTGATCACCTGTAGATAAGTACAGTTAGAAATGGGAGTGCTAATCGAGGGTGCTGCTTTAATGGTTCATTTTTTAATGAGATTTTGAATCAATATATATTTGTATCTGAAGTCTTGTGACCATTTACTATCCCTTTGCTCTGCTGTAATTTTTCTTGGGATATTTTAATTTAAAAAAAAACTTTAAATTATACGACCTAACATAAAATTTACAATCTTATCCATTTTTAAATGACCATTTCAGTAATATTAAGTATATTCATATTGTTGTGCTCCTATCATTACCATCCATAGAACTCTTCACTTTGCAAAACTGAAACTCTTGTGTCTTTTAAATGACTCCCTAGTTCTCCATCCCTCTAGTACCTGGCAACCACCATTCTACTTCTGTCTTTATTAATTTGACTTATCTAGGTATCTCATAGAAGTAGAATCATATAGTATTTGTGACTGGGCTTATTTCACTTAGTATAATGCCGTCAAGGTCCTGTTCATCTATCTTGTATCATATGTCAGAATGAATGTCCTTCTTTCTTTGTCTGTGTAGTACTGGGAATTAATCCCAGTCCCAGCCTTTTCTTTTCTTTTCATTCATTCATAGAGTCTTGGTAAGTTGCCTGGGCTGGGCTTAAACTTTTTATCCTGCCTCAGTTGCCCAGAGTGCTGGAATCAAAGGTGTCTGCCACTGTGCCTGGCCTCATTCATCTGTTAATGGACACTTGGGTGAAGGGAGACCTTCATGATAAATTAAAGTCTGGTTGTAAAACAAGAAAGTGTGATCTAACTTCTGTAGAATTGCAGCTACTTCATCTTAGGAAAATGATTAAAACATCAACAGTAGCTATCTCAGGTTTCAGGATATTTTGTTCTTCAGTATTTCTTTTTTCTTCAATTAACATGTATTGCTTTTGTGGTTAAAAAAAAATTAGTAAAGGAGTTAAAAGTTAATGTAAAGTAACTGTGGACACTTTTAAGATATGATAACTTCAGTTGGCAGACAGATGTAGTTTGTCCATTGGTGGTAACCTTGTGGAAGTAAACTGACCTTATAGTACTTGGGACCTAAGATGACTCAGGGGCTACATTATATTTGTTGCCTGTCTTTTAGGGGGACTTTTTTTTTTTTTTTTTGCTTAAATTCTTTTATTGGTACATTTTAGGTATACAACATGTTTACATTTATCATTGGGTGCTTGTACCTGTACATGATGTATCTTGGTTCTTATTTTTTCCCCATTACCTGTGAGCCCTTCCCCCCTCCACCCTTCCTTATTTATGTAAACTTTGTTTCCATTTTTTCTTTCTTCTTTTCTCATAATTTTTCCTTTCTCTTAGGAGGACTATTTTTGATACACCAGATGAGGATCCAAATTACAATCCACTACCTGAAGAACGGCCAGGAGGCTTTGCCTGGGGTGAGGGCCAGCGCCTTGGAGGTTAAAGCACCGTGCCAATGAGACCCAGTTGGGAAGGACTCCGTGAAATACCCATTGGGATTCTTTTATCCTTTGTTGCAAAAGTGTGGACACTTTTGACAGCTTTACAGATTTTAACTCCAGAAGCACTTTACAAAATGATACACTGACTAATCCAGAAGACATTTCCAGCATTTTGCCAGTGGTTCCTCACTACACTGGTACTGAAAGTGTAATCTCTTGGAGCCAAAAAACTGGAGAAACAGTTATCCTGCCACCTCTTAACAAGTACACGAGTACTTCTCATGGCATAAGGCAGGCCTTTTTCTTCCTCTTCTTTGATAGATGAGGTCATGGTGTAAAGGAAGTTTCAGAGAGGACAAAATAAAACTGAATTCCATCTCGCTTTCACTGTATTAAAGCTGTTGTGTGTGATCTTTTAAATTATGTGTTCTAGCTCTCCTGTGTCAGTCTGAGCTCAGAGCAGTTTACATGCCTGCTCTTTTTGTGTCTACCCAGCTTTTAAATGGATTTTGTTTCAAGATTGGAAATACATGGCTGATGTGCTGTGTCCGTGTACATCATAATTCACAGTGCTAACTTCAATAGGAATATTTATCTCTGTCCTTCAGATAATTTGTTCTCCATCTGGGAATTGAGAAACTTCAAGTTATCAGACCATAGGGCAGTTTGAGTAGCAGGAGGAATTCCACTACAGAAAAGTCAGTTGTAAGCAGAAAGTTAATCTGGCATCTTACTTGTGGTTGCATTTCTCCACTAGGAAATATTGAAGAAAAAACTCGTAACAGCTTTGGAAAGCTACAGGAAGATAAACGGGCAGCAATTAGGCATACATTCCTCCTCGGTCTTTAGAGGGTTAACAATTTTCATTTGCTTCATGAAAAGCTGAAAACCTTTTCAGAGCCAAGTACTTGGTATACCTTCCCAATCAGATAGAAATTAGGGTCTATAAAATTTGGCACTTAATGCCTATTATTTAATAATTACTGGTCCAGAATATTAAGTCTCGTGGTCTCCAGAGGTTTGTGTTCACACTGCTTAATCAGATCTCAGAAGAGTAAAAAAGGACACCTCCCAATAAAGAGATGCTCTTAGTTTTCATAAACAGCATAAAGGCCTAAGATCCTTTCCCAAACTGGACTGTCCTTAGCCGTTCTGTCTTGGTTAAGGGTAGCTTTCTATAGTGAGATTTTCCCAGAAAAAATAGCCAGGGATTTAGCTCAGTGGTGCCACTCACTGCCTGCCTCAAAAGCGCAAGGTCTTGAGTTCAATCCCTGGTACAAAAAGAAAAAAAGTTGACATAGGCTTAGATTAAAAAGAAACAAGTGGAAATTTTCAGATTGTTTCTGAAATGAAAAATATTTTAATGTCTTTCTAAATGTAATATGCATAAGTAATGAAATTTAGTCATACATGTCACTACTAAGTAACCTTGAATATGACTTGCAATTTTATGGAACTTGGTTCAATGGACTGCTTTTTTTTCCTAAAAGGTTTAAAGAATCTTTTTAAAGTGTAAATGCCAATTTTAGATTATATAATCTATGGGATTCTTAAATTTGACCATTTTTGTCTTTGTTCAAGGAAGCTTTTAGTCATTTTGGTGTTTCTGTTATATTTTGTATTTTATTTTGCACTACTAGAGATTAAACCCAGGGCCTTAACACTAAGCTACATCCCTAACCCTTTTCAAATTTTAATTTTTATTCCAAGAGAGGTTTTTACTGAGCCCAAATTCACAATCCTCTTGCCTCAACCTCCTAGAGTCCTGGAATTACAAGGCATGTGCCAGCACAACAGACTTTTTTTTTTTTTTTTTTAATGTTTTGGCTAGAAATGGGGTTCTCTAGTTTTATTCTTCCTGCATTAATTTAGAGTTAGCCAGTTAATGGAATTTTTATGGTAAAATTTTAATCCTAAAATTACTGTTCACCTAAGTGGGGAATAGCTGTACACATCAGTGACTGAGGATAACAGGAAACACATTTTGCTTGTAGAGTCTAAAAGCAGTAAGCTAGAAGATTTTGGTTTCCCTGATTTTATAAGATGTAAAATCCTAGTGGCAGGATTCTGTTACTACAGTGTCCTAGTGGTGGTAGTTTGAATCATTGACCTCTTAGTCTGGCCAATCCGACTACCACCATCTCTATCTTTGTGTTGCTTGAACAGGATATTTATGCATCCCTGGCCATAAGGAAAAGTCCTTACTTTTTTCCCAACTTACATCCTGAACTTCGTTCTTCCAGAATACACTTCCTTTTCATAATACAAGTCAATTGAAAAGTGAGATCTGATATATGGAATTTTGTGCCCAACTAACCTTATGTACCAGTATAATTTGAGAGACTTCTGGATTCTACCAGTAATACAGAAAAGCACATCCCTGACTGACATAGTTTTTTTGTTACAGAAGTACAGCATATGTTCATTTAAAAAATAAATGGACGTATAAATGGCATCTCCTAGGAGATATTTTTATATACATTTTGGTGGAGGTTTTTTTTTTTTTTTTTCTTTACTATGGATTTGTATTTGTTTCTCTCCTACAGTTGTTCTTTTTCCCTGTGTCTTGTGTATCTCAAAATTTCATACTACTTGCAGTTTCTTGAAGCAAAGCACCCATTTTTCTGGATCTTGGTCATGGATCCCTCACTTTGTCTCTGGAGGCCTCTGAAAATTAGGAAATATTGGCACAATTGACATTGAATAACAGGCTTCCTAGAATTGTCATCTCTCCTGCCAATGTTTTATGTTGTTGCTATATTTTCTTTTGACAGATGAGTTCCATCTGTTGTTAGACAAGATCCTGCCATTTTAAGTGTGAGAGTGCATTAAAGATGTTGAACCTTGTGTGGTCAAGTCATTTCTCTGCTGAGAAATCCACAGTGGCTTAATAAGCCCCTATATCAAGTGCATACTTTCTGTCTTCCTCTCTGAAACGTACTCCCATTTCTACCTAACAGGGATCTCAATTTAAGTCTCTTCAGTCCTTCAAGGCCTTGCCTTGCTCCTCAAGAAATCTTGATAGTAAAGCCTATTTCATTGTCTTTGAATCCCTACAAAGTTCCAAATCTGTATGACATACTCTTCCACCAAATTATATACTGTCTTAAACTGTTCCTAGCTAGTACCTGTATAGTAGTCTTGTCTCCCTCATAAGAATGTAAGCTCCTTAAGGGCAGGGATCATGTCTTAAATTTTGTATCCACCACAGTGCCTAGCACAGTGCTTGGCACATGGCTGCTGAATAAATACTTTGTTTATTGATCAGCAAACTATTATCTGTTATCTTTAATTACACAGGTATTAATGGGTATGCATGCAAGCTTGTGCCTAGTTGCTGAGAGTTATGGTAGTCTCTGGAAATGGGATAGGGGAAAGCTGAATATGATTGGGGGCAGTGGTTTCATATTCAGACAAGCCAAAGGGATCACCGGCAAATGAGATATGTAAGTTCACAGATTGTCCCTGACAAGACCTTTTGGAAGAAAGGCCAGGATATTCTTTGAATAATTATTAGTTTGTCAGCATCTGTATATGAAAGCCACTGAATCACAAAAATTTGAGAGGTTAGCAGATTTCAGGCAACTAATGGGTGAAATGTGGACAGTACGGCTTGATGCTTAAGTAGGATTTAATTATTCTTTCATCCTCTTAGTTTTGAGCCTGCAGAAGAGCTAAGTCTCAAAGCCAGAGGTTATGGATAAATTATTTATAGATGTGCTGTGTTTTGCCTGAACTTTTTTTTTAATGAGCCAATTTTTAAAATTAACACATGACAAAAATCTTCATTTTTTTTGCTTTTCTTGAAAAAAAAACTAGGAAAAGCCAAGCATGGTGGCACAGATATGTAATTCCAGCACTCTGAGGGCCTGAGGCAAGAGGATCTAAAGTTTCAGTCCAACCTGAACAACTTAGCAACTTAGCAAGACCCGATCTCAAAATAAGAAATTAAAAGGGGACTGTAGCCCAGTCCAAAGACCCTGGGTTCAATCCCCAGTACTGGGAAGAATGAAAAGAAAAACAGCATTCATGACCACCGTTGCCTAAAAGTGATCAGTGGCTGCTTTTATAGATAAGGCATGTGCCCTATACCCCTTTTCTATAGGAGAGGGGGCGAATACAGAATTTCAAGAGATGATGGTTTGTAAATAGTTCTTAGCACGAAAGTAGAGAAGGATCGGAGACAAAGTCTGTTCAGGTGTGCTGAACAACTCCAGTCTTTCCTCCTGTGATAGGAATTTTGTTGATTAAAGCTCAGAGAAGTCTCCAGAAATAATTTTCTTTGGCAAGTCTGAAATTTAAGCAGATAAAAGACCTTTGCAGAATATCTTCCCTTGCATTGGAAGAGAGAGAAGGGAAGGTCAGGGAGACCTGGACCCAGAAGCAGGTTCTAGGCCTTTTAATATCCTCAGATCAAATTGCTCAGTATCATCCAGCCATGGTGGCTAAGGCAGGAGGAACACAAATTTGAGACCTGTCTGGGTAATTTTAACAAGAACCTACCTCAAAGAAGGACTGGGATGTACCTCTGTGAAGGCCCTAGTTTCCCAAAAATGTTGTGTTTATTATTCTGAGCTCAGACTGTCATTACTGTCTTTTTCTTTCAACATGTTTTTAAAGTCTACCCATGTAGTTGTGTTTAGCTCTAGTTTGATCCTTATTGCTGGAAAGCGTGCCCTTGTATGGGAATCATTACAACCATCACACCATACGTGACATCTTGTGTCTATCTTCTCTCTCTCCTTCATATGAGGAGTCAAACTTGGAGGGCAATCTTGAGATTCCAAAATGGAAAGAAGGCAGTACACAGCAGAGTCTTGACAGCAGCCAAAATGGACTATTTTGTGGCCCCCTAGAGTGTTCTGTGGGGTCCTTAGTGGGGCATATACTGTATTAGAAAGTGGGTCACATGACTTGAATAAATTAGAGCCATAGGGAGTGCCATCAGAGGACTAGGGTAGTGTGTCCACATTTCCCTGGGAAGGACTGGTTGAAGTTTCTGCCCCAGGTAACTGTTGATGTTGAGCTCCCTGGTTTTTCTGAATGTTATTACATTTTGCTTTCTTGAACTTTGCTCTCTGGTTCTTGAACCAAACCTGTAGTACTGTTGGATCTGTGTTTATCTTTAAGGCCCTCTTCTTCCTAAGGCTGATGTCTGTGTATGGGTTTCTATTGAAAAAAGAGGTTCAAATCTTCCAGTTGTTTCTCAGTAAATATAGTTCATTTGTTTTTCAAATGCTTCTGGAGCTTGCCTTCAGAAAGAGCCTCAGAGCCTGACATCTTTGAATCCAGATGTGTTCTTGTGCTCCGCTCCAGGGATGAGCTGACAACTTATTAAACATATAGCTGTTGTTGGTTTAATGTGCACTTTTTCAGTAACCCCTGGTCATTGCACCATCAGCAACTAGAGAAAAATTTTTCTGACGTGGAGAAAAGCAGGATTTTTAACAGGTTCACATACAGGTTCTTAACAGATTTCATGGAAATGAACTTCAGATGTCCTTCACATGAATTGAAGCTTATACTTTTATTCTTTGAAGGTCATATTTACAGTATGCAGAGCAAACAACTGCTTGGCAGCCTTTCTGAGTGAATTAGCAAATCATCTAAGAGCTTTTAATTTAGGAAGGGAAGAAGGAACTAGTTATTTTCTCTGCTCCCCGCTGGAATTCGGATCTTTTCATTGGTTAGAATGTGTATGATGCCGGGGATTTAGCTCAGTGGTTTTGCCGCCTGCTGCGCAAGCTCAAGGACTCCAGTTTGATCCCTGGTAACCAAAAAAAAAAAAAAGAATGTGTACGATAGATCTCGCCTTGTCCTGCGCCTCTCGAAAAGCCTCAGATGGGAGAAGGTGGGGGATAAAGAAAAGACAAAGAGATGCAAGAAGATGAGGCCAGGTGGAGTCTTCCTCCCGCGGGGAGAAAGGACTGCCTGGCAACTGAAGCGCACTAGCGCAAGGGGAGGTGAAGGGGCTGTCCTTAACTGGAACAGGAACAGCAGCTAATATCTGCAGAACACCATGCTTTGATGGTTTTATGGGGAACGGATGGGGAGGAAGGCACGTCCTCTTTTTCGATTGTCGCCTGTTCTCCCATGGGGCCCTGCCTAGTCCATGGGAGGAAGCGAGCAAGATGCGTATTCCTCGTTCCCACCAGGCCCTGCCTGGTCCGCGGGAGGACGCACTTAGGCCCAGCCACAGTGATCTACAGCGCGGTGCTCCCAGCAGGAGCTGGAGAGCTTTGTAAAGACTTTGAAGGTTTTAGCGGGTGTGGGACTGCATAACTCTGTAATCATAAAACTCCCCTGGCCCCAAATGTGAATGTGAGTAAATAGATAAAGATGCTTGTTAGTTCCGGGACACTAGATAAGATCTGTATCAGCCATAAGGTCCCAAAGTAAATTACTCAACTCTTTGTTTGAAACTGATGTTCCGAACACCGCTATCTATAGAACAATCTACAAACATCTGCTGACCATCAGTACGTGTCAGCTGAACCACTAACCTTTGTTCCTCTTCTGTAAATTTCGCCTGTTAACTTCTCCTGCAACCCCCTATAAAAAGAACCTCGGACTCTGGGCTAGTCGCCTCTCTAAGGTACTTTGCTTTGGGAGTGCCGGCTGGCCAGACTAAGGTCTGTTTTACCTTCCAACTTGTCCGGTGTGTTCCTTCCCGGGTGTTCTTCGCTGCAGTCAGCTCCTCGAAGCGTTTGGTAAGGCCCTCGGTCTTACATTTTGGAGGCACCGCTGGGATCCCCGGGTGTGCTTCACTGCAGTCAGCTCCTCGGAGCATTTGGTAAGGCCCTCGGTCTTACACGGGAGTGGTGGTGCATACCTGTAATCCCAGCTACTCTGGAAGGTGAGGCAGGAGGATCGAAAGTTCGAATCCTGCCAGGGCAGTTTAGTGAGACTATCGAAAGAAAGAAAGAAAGAAAGAAAGAAAGAAAGAAAGAAAGAAAGAAAGAAAGAAAGAAAGAAAGAAAGAAAGAAAGAAAGAAAGAAAGAAAGAAAAACAAAAAAAGAAGAAGAAGCAGGGGAGAGAATTGGCTGGGAATGTAGCTCAGCAGAGGCTCTAGGTGCCATCTCCAGGTTCAGGGAAAGAAGGGGGAGGGAAGGGGGAGAAGGAGAAGAAGGAGGAAGAGGAGGAAGAGGAGGAATGGGACGTGAGTGAGGAGGAAGAGGAGGAGGGGGGGACTCTGGAAAGAAGGGAATGGAATTAATATGAGAAAATGAAAAAAAAGAAACAAAGTCTTTGTAAATAGGGAGGGATGGAGGGGTTGAAGGGAGGGCAGGGGAAGGGGGAAAAATAAGAACCAAGAGAGTATGCAAGGGTGCATATCTCCAATGATGAATGTCATTATATTGTACACCTAAAATGCACCAATAAAAGGATATACAAAAAAAAAAAAAAAAAAAAAAGAATCTGGCCCGTGATTGGGAGAAAGGGATAAAGACTGTCTTAGTTCCATTCAAATCCCTCTTTCCCCACTTGTATTACTGGAATACATCAGGCCACTGGGATAGTCAATTTCTGAGGAAAACACATAGTCATAGAATCAAATAGAGCCATAGACTTCCCTTTCCTCCTCTGTAACACAAGATGATACCAGTATGCTTTTCAAAATTAAGATTTTTGTGATACCCAAATGACCTTAATCACAGAAAACTCAGTTTCTTCATTTGTAAATTGGGGATAATACCAGCCTCTGCCGCGTAACTTGTTTAGAAGATTAATACTTTCCTCATTAATTTTACCGAATTAAATAATTTCCTTGAAATGTGGCGAATACTGCGGAGAGAGATGGAGAAACGTATTTTTACTGGCAAGAAATAGTATTACCAGAACAAAAAAGTCAATGAGATGAAGAACGTCTTTACCCCTGAACAAGGTGCTACAGAACCGTACGCCGTACTTTTCCTTGCTGTTGCTCCGGACGTTTTTGCCGTTGTACCTCAGAACCTGCTCTCCCTGGCCCTAGGAAGTGAAAGCCTTAAACCGCCAATGCATTCTGGGAATTGCAGTCCCTTTCCTAAAATCCGGGGGCGCCTTGAGGTCATCCGTGGTCGCCCGAAGCAGCCAGCATGTGGCGAAAAGGGGCGGTCCTCGCTTGCCTTCCGCACCGGAGAAGGGCAGGAGCTGCTGGTGCCGAAGTCTCCCGCCGTGACGCCCTCGCGACATGCCGGAGGAGGCGCGCTTCCCTCCGGCCAAGAGATTCCGACCCGGGTCAGGGCCTCCAAGCCGTGCCGGGTCCTGCCCTCCCGGGAGGCGAGTAGTTATGCTGCTGACGGCGGGCGGTGGCGGAGGAGGCGGAGGAGGCGGAGGAGGCGGAGGAGGCGGAGGAGGCGGAGGAGGCGGAGGTCGGAGGCAGCAGCCCCTGGCCCAGCCTTCAGCCAGTCCCTACCGTGAGGCCCTGGAGCTGCAGCGCCGGAGTCTGCCCATCTTCCAGGCACGGGGGCAGCTGTTGGCCCAGCTTCGAAACCTGGACAGTGCTGTCCTCATCGGTGAGTGGCTATGCTGGTAGGCCCTTCCTTGTTCTCCCTACCTGTCTTCAAGAGAACAATTTTTCTTAAGTGCCACTCATTCTCTTACATTCATTTCTCCAACAATCTTGAACTCCTTTTCAGTGGCAGGTCCAAAAAGAGATTCTCGAAGAGTCGGACAGCGCTGTCCTGGAGTTGTTGCAGCCCAGTGGGAGTGACAGACGTGTAGTCATGGATTCACCTTCCGTGAAAGGGTAGAGGGAGCTCACCAAGGGTTTTGGAAACTTAGGATAGTGGATCTAACCGAGTCTGTGAAGAGACAGCTGGAGGTGGTCTCTGGAGGAAGAATATTCTCTGTAGAGGGGAGAGCCTGCCTGAGAGACTGGAAACTAGAAACAGTGTGGTGGAACAGAAAATAATCATTTCTGGTGCATGAGAAGAGTTGTGGAGCAGGGACTAATTTCAGAAGGCTTTGATCCCTAAAGTTTAAGAAATGGGAGTTCTTGAAAGACAGAGGATGAGCTGCCCAAGAGGAGAAGGAAACTGGGAGTGCTGTTAGTCAGAGGATGAGCTACAAGAGGAGAGTAAACAGATGCAAAGGAGGGTCCAATAATCTGTGGAACCCCCCCCCAAATTGCCCACTGCATTTGGATTCTAGCCACTGATTGTGGATTCCATTGAGAGCTATTGCTTTCTTTTTTCTTTTTTCAGTACCTAGGATTGAACTCAGGACCTTGTGCTTGCCAGGGAGGCATGGCACCACTGAGCTAAATCCCAGGCCTGTTTCTTTTCTTTTCTTTTTTTTTTTCATTGAGAGGTATTTCAACAGTACCATGACTGTAAGAGCTGGCTCTCATTGAGCTGAGAAATAAGGAGGTGAGAGAAGAAATGCAGAAGCAGACTTCTGTTTTGAGAAAAAGACTGGGAGGAACTTGCAAATGTAGGTAGGTTAAAAGGAAGGACTCAGCAGAGGGGGCTGAAAATGGAATGTAGCTAATGGTACAAAAATCAGGAGGCATGGGGAAGGGGACTTTGGGAACAAGGGCTGGATGGGTGCTGGCCTGGAGTAGGAAGGCCATCTCAGAGACTGTGTGCCTGGAGAAAGAATGGTGTGATCTCAGAAATGCTATAGGAGGAGGTCAAGGAAGATCACATTTGAGAAATTTTTCTCTGAGACAAGTGCAGGAGTTCTGCTGAGAGCGGGAGTCCCAGGGCCTCAAATAGGCCTTGGGGAGGATAGAGGTAAAAGACAGGCTGCAAAACCAGGAACAAGATTGATGGTTGAGTTGGTTCCCAGATGCAGTTTGGCCCTATCACTACACAGTGGGTTATTTTACTTTAGCAATACTCAGTTGTTCTGGTATAGGAGCAGGAAAGATGCAGAGACATTGATCTAACTTTGAGGTTGTGCCTGGTAGATTACAGAATAATCAAATTCTTAGTCTGTGATTATTGGCTGGCTCAGACAGGATGAGCAGTTAGAGGAGTTGATGAGTGGGAGAAAATGCAAGAATAACAGGATGGTAGGACTTGGTGAGGTTAGAAAGGGTGAGATTTCTTGAGTTATTTGTTCCAATTAGGCACTGTTAAAGGGACCCACAGTGAGTAGGAAATGACATTTATTGGATGCTTACTCTGCAGGGAGTTTAAATCCACAAAGAGACAGAAACTTTCTTTGCCCTCTAGAAATGTCTGGTATTAGAAGAGGACACAAATATTTAAACCCTTCTGTATGGCATAGGATGGTCAGTGCTACAAGAGAGACCAACAAGGCACTAAAAGTCCAGATGAAGGCCATCTCTGCGGCCCCAGGGGGAAGATATGACCCACTCATCTTGTAGCTTGCCAGGCAGAAGCATGGGGCAGGTATTATGTCTGTAATAGTGTGGGCAAGTAGAGGGTTTGAAAGAAAGCAGTAGACCGGGAAACGATGAGAAGTTTGTTATGGCTGCGGTGTATGAGTAGGTGTCAGTACTTATCAATGTACTTTCTCCCCTGCCTCCTCCTGCCCCCCTCAGTACTGGGGTTGAACCCAGGGCCTTATACTGCGAGGCAAACACTCTACCACTGAGCTACAACCCAGACAAGGTTTTTCTACATTGCCCAGGCTATCCTAGAACCTGTGATCCTCCTGCCGCAGGCTTCTGGGTGCTGGGATTAGAGGTCTGCACCACAACTCTTGGCTCATAGTGAGTTTGAGACCACCCCAAACAACATAGCAAGACTTATCCTAAAAAAGAAAAATAAAGGGCCAGGGATTTAGCTCAGTGGTTCCAGTGCCTGCCTCGCAAGCGCAAGGTCCCAAGTTCGATCCCCAGTACCAAAAAAAAAATCAGTTCCTACAAGTGGAATTGTGCAATTATATCAAATGGTATAAAACATTTTAAAGATTTTTCAAATATAATTTTTTCTCCCATGAAACAGTGAACACTCTGTGGTGTACACTCAAGTGCCCATTCTCCTGCTACCTTACCAAACTCAGTATTTTTTAAAAATCTTTTTCTTCTGAGTTCAAGCTGTTTTGTTTGTTTGCTAGGTGAACTTTGTGTGAATTTGCATTTAAGTGAGATTTCTTCTGATTTCCTAGGGGAAACTGGCTCTGGGAAGACAACTCAGCTCCCTCAGTACCTCTATGAAGGGAGTGTTGGCCGCCAGGGCATCATTGCTGTGACCCAGCCCCGTCGAGTGGCTGCCATTTCTCTTGCTACTAGAGTCTCAGACGAGAAGAGAACTGAACTTGGGAAGCTGGTACTTCATTTCTTTGTTACCATCAGTACTTCTTTACTAAACAGTGCTCCTACCATGCTCTTTTCCTTTTATTTTCTGAATAAGACTTTTACATAGCAAGGATCTTTCTTGCCACAACTATTTAGACTAATCTCAGAGTTCTTTCTCAGTTTTGGAGAAATCGGGCTCTAACAAGGCCCTAGTCCCATTTCCTTTGCTTTCAAAAGCTCTTGGCAAGTTGGATAAATTAGTTGTTTTCCTTGAGCATCTTTAAGGCTTCAGTAACCTCTGTTAAATCTCTTATCTATAAATTTTTCTAGAAAAAAATGTTTTTTTGAGACAGGGTCTCACTATGTAATCCAAACTAGCTTTGAACTCACAATGTACCCCAAGCTGGCCTTGAACTCATGGTGATCCTCCTACTTCACCCTCCTGAGTGCTGGGATTATAGGCTTTCACCACCATGGTCAGCATTTCTAGAAAAATGTAATAATAGCATCATTTTAGCATACATGTAGGTATTTAGATGAGTCACAGAATGGTATAGAAGACAGATTTATTTGTGTGTGTGTGTGTGTGTGTGTGTGTGCATATGCTAACATAAAAACATCCCAGACATCTTTCCATATCTGTGCATAGCTTCCTGTGAAACTTAAGTAGTTTTGAGGAAGAGATTAATTTTAAAAAAAAATTTTAATTGGTTTTCTGAGGCAGGGTCTCACTGTACAGCTCAGGCTGCCTTTGAACTCATTTTGTAGCCCACGCTGGCCCTGAACTCACAGTGATCCTCCTGCCCCAGCCTCCCAAGTGCTGGGATTACAGATGTGTGCCATCATGCCTGGCTTCCTTTTATTTTTTTATTAAAAAATTAAATTATGCAGTATGTAATGATTACATTCATTGGAGGGATTTGGTACACGTACATAATACTTAAATTCTACGTAATACTTAACATTACAGTAGTTAAAGGTTGTATCTGTGTCTGTCTCCCTAACTGCACCACATGCTCACCAGAAGGAGCAGGACAGGGTGGTGTGGCTCTGCTTACTGGGACAGTGCAAGTGCCTAGCACTGGGTAAACTGCTACTCAAAAATGTTTGGTGCATGAATGAATTGTTGTGTCACACAGGTTGGCTATACAGTGCGCTTTGAGGATGTCACCTCTGAAGACACCAGGATCAAGTTCCTAACAGATGGCATGCTTCTGCGTGAAGCAATTTCAGATTCCCTGCTTCGGAAGTACAGCTGTGTCATTTTGGATGAAGCCCATGAAAGGACTATCCACACGGATGTGCTCTTTGGAGTGGTGAAAGTGGCACAGAAGAGGCGAAAGGAGCTGGGAAAACTGCCTCTGAAAGTATGTGCCATATGTTTAAGGAAACAGGCTTGTGTTTCTTTTTCAGGACATTTTCCTCTGTTCGTTCGGCTTTAGAACCATTGGAGAAAGTTAAACGATGACAGGAGTAGAGCAGGCTTCAACCATCTGCTTTTAGGACTTGGGAGGGACACAGAAAGGCTATGTATGCCATTCTTGATACCCATCCTTCTTGTTCTCTTATATAGGTGGTTGTGATGTCAGCTACAATGGATGTGGACCTGTTTTCTCAGTATTTCAATGGAGCACCTGTCCTCTACCTTGAGGGTCGGCAGCATCCAATCCAGATTTTTTATACCAAACAGCCTCAGCATGATTACCTGCATGCTGCTCTTGTCTCAGTCTTCCAGATACACCAGGTATGGAAGAAGGTGCAAATTCCTCTAGTTTATCTTGCAGTTAGTAGTGATGCCATTCAGCCTCAGAAAGAACACCCTT